CAAAAATTGAAAAAAAAAATAATGATAAAATAATAATAGTTAAAAAAACGTGGAAAGGTTCATTGCAGAGCTTGCTCACAGGCTACCAATGATCGCGATATTGCAACAAGGTGAATTCCGTCCCAGCTGCTCAGAGGTTGACCACCACAGAAATCTATGTAGCACTGACGTTTCAAAATTCTTTACCGAAAGATAATGCCAGCTTATAGAAAGCAGAAAACGACAAAGTTCAGATCTTCGGAAAGAGTTCATCTTGATAGAAAGTCGACATTATTTACTTTGTTGCCCCTTTACATTATTTTCACTAATTTATATGTATTACATGTATCTATATTATCAATGTCATTACCATTATCATTTATAATAATTTTATTTCATTTTGAAATTCATTTTTGGAGAGGTGGGGTGGACAATAAAATGGCCATTAGAAAGAGATAACTTCTAATTTAGTCTATACCTGCTACATAATCTTTGGCATCAACAACAACTTCGATTTCCATTGAGTGGCTACTAGTGAAAGTAGCTCTCCCAGTCAGATGTATCACGTGACCTAGCTTCACTGGTGCATGAAAGTCAATCGCATCTGTAATTTAACAAAAATTTACATTTATTTTACTTTTTACAATTTAATATCCAAGTGCATTAATAGAGACCTTTAGATTCGAGGACGAGAACAACTGCCTGGATGAGAACGACTACCTGGACGAGAACAACTACCTGGACAAGACTGGATTTAAGTTATTTTCACATAATTTATTCTAAAAAAAGAGACACCCCGGAAATCTTCATTTTACTTCGGTTGATCTGAAGATGTTTTCGTAGAATATTCTGTTCGTGTGATTTTTGTAGCTGCCATTGTGGCTGTTGTTTAAAAGAAAAAGAAGAACTATATTGGAGAGCTTTAGATTCTGAGACCAGGACGTCTACAAGTATGAGATTTTCTTAATACTGAGTATTGCTCACGCGTGAACTAATGTCATTTTGGCAGGAAAACAACAAGTTATTAAAAGTATAAGCAATTTTATCATTTTGCTATCGGGAGAGGGCTTAACCTCCTTCAGTATAAATACCAGTACTAACTTTTTGGATGAAAAAAAGTAAAATGAAGCTTGCCTGGGTGTCCTCTTTTTTCTAGAACACGTGCAATTAACATTTAAGTTAAATCTTGTACTTGTACACATTGTTGTCCTCAAATCTAAAGCTCTCTGTTTTAATTTCAGTAAACTGTAATATGGCGGTTCAGATTAACTGTGTTATAAAGGCCCAAACATTTTCAGTTTGTTACTTGTTGTCTTTCTGAACTAGGACTCAATGGTTCTGGACTTGGACTCATGATTTTTCACAAGATGAGTCCCAGGACTTACCATAGCTATTTGTAACAAAATCACTGTTAGCATGGTTAGTATTGAGAAATTCTCGTACTCGTTGTTGTAGTCATAGTCTAATAGAATCTAGAGGTCTCTAATGTATCCACAAAAACAGCTGTTCTGAAAAAAATATGAATTGAAAACTAAAGCTTCACAGCAAAGGATTCTACTAACAAATTTCAAGGGCCTTAACTGTGCTTAAATTTCTCCATATGCTTGCTTTAGCTTTTCCGTATATTTGTCTGCAATTTTTCCCAGGAAATTTTAGTTGGCTGGAAGAATAATTTTGACAGAGAAATGTACAGAAAATTTTAAAAACTGGTTCTAGCAAATGTAGCTGCATGTCACACCCTCATATTTTTTCAGTAGAATTGTTAGGAGTGAGGCTTTAGTTTACAACTCACATTTTTTTTTTCCAAAACAGCCATTTTACGGAAATTCTGCGACATGAGATTCTCATAAAAACACTGTAATTTCCCACACAGTTGCCTACAAGTCAAAATGGCTTCCAAAACCATGACAAGGTCTCAGATTCACATATGGCTCTGGTGCTTGAGGCAATAAAACATTTTTATGGTCACCTTGAAGTTCAGGGTGTTAAAAAGAAATTCCATTTGTCTACTCTCAGTTCATTTTTGTTTGTTGTTGTTGTAAGTGATTGTTGTTGCTTCTGTTATATGCTCCCTTTGAGCAAAAGACCGATGGAAAAAAAAATATTTCTTACTTCCGATAACATGTAAGCATCATCACTTCATTTGCATTCCCTTTCATTTTTTTTATTAAATTACTTGTAGCTTTTATTTGGACCAAAATTCAAAATTTGTATAAAATTGTTGATCTGAAAGTACACATATCCGTAACTTTTCTTCTTATTATTTGTATTTGTATTTTTTCAATTCTTAGGGGCAGAAGGATAAACTCTTACCAACTGATGCCGTGACCACATTGGTTTTACAGTGTCGGAATGCAACTATTCCTGCCACTTCATCCATCATTTTCATCGTAACACCTCCAAGTACATACCCAGTACTTGCACAATCTGAGGGTTGTACAGAGTGGATCAGAGATGACTGCGAACTGTTTACACTATATCTTGAAACATTCCCACCATCAGTTCGCTCAGTTGGTTGCACTCCATCATTGATATGTAGTGGCACCTCTAACTGAAAAGACCATTATTTTAAATTTTTAGGTATCAAACTAACCTCCTTCTAAGTAATCACAAATTGGCGATAGAGACAGGTCGGTATGTAAGACCTTATAAGAAACCGGAAGAAAGGATCTGTCCTATCTGTAAAAAAGACGTAGAAGATGAAATACACTTTTTAACTCTGTGCCCTGCGTATCAAGAAAAAAGAAGTACTTTATTTGAATACTTAAAAAAAGAATACAGTAAACAGAAGTAAACAGTAATGGCACCAGATGATCTTTTTCTGTTGTTAATAAACCCTCTGAGCAAGAACAAACCAGTGCAAAAGTTAATTGCAAAATACGTATTCGACTGCTATGAGAAAAGAAGATCATTAGTTGTTTAGGTTAACATTGATTATAGTTCCACTAGTGTGCAATTTGTGTTATAATTTTAAATTATTTGGATAAAGTCGATATACATAGGACTGTATAAGACTCCAAATAAAACATTGTCTTGTCTTGTCTTGTCTTGTCTATCAAAGGGAAGGGGCTTCATTACAGAAGTTAATTTTAAAACTACAGTGAAGGTATGTGAAAGGGGTACCCGTTGTCTATAGAAGGTATTTGAAAGAGGCACTTTTTTTGTTAAAAGTGGTATAAAAAAGGAAAAGGGGTTGGACTTTGTGGAAGAGCTTCCCCTTACAAAACTTTCTTGAGTACCCCTCCCCAACCCTGTATAACAGAATATTACATGTATGTAAGTAATAACGTTTATCTACCTCTTTCATAAGCTCCCTTTTATCAAGCCTAGCTCTCTTCTGTCTTTTGTATCTCTCTTTTCCTCTTTCCTCTTCCTCTTTACTTGAATATTCTACAGCAGGTACCTCTGGTATGATCCTCATCTCCTCATTTCCGGTGACGGGAACGTACCAGAGTGAGGCACGGTTGGTAAGCCTACGACTTCCGGTTATGAGATTTTCTGCCCAAACGCACGCTTGCACTTCCAAAGAATGCGTTGATGCGTAGCCTAGCTCTACGTGAACTTGAGCAACTTCCCCTATAAACATCGGTTGCAAGAAATCTGTCCTTTCAACGCGCGCCAAAGCTGCCAATATCGGCTCAGGACTTGTTTTCCGACCATTCTTGTTACAATGGCGTGTAGCAATTATGAGCCCTGCTTCCTCGATTAGCTTCAATGTTGTTCCACCGTGAACATTGCCAGCAATATTAGCATCATCAGGGTGCATAAGGCGGCAAACTTCGATGGAACCGCGGGAAATTGAGTCCCCCGTGTCTTTCATATCGACTCCAATCAACCCTTTCGCCGTCATTTTGTTTCTGTACACACGCAAACCAAGAACAGCGGTAGCTCAAACAACGCACGCGTAGAATCGTTGACGGAAGTGGTTAATGTAAAAAAATGGCGGCTGAAGAAGACGACGAAGATATTTGGGATAGCTGGGAAGATGTGGCAGATTCTGGGGTAGGATGTCAATAGATCGGGTGAAAAAAATGGACTTGGACTATTTGCACATTGATTTATTAAGTCACGGCCCGTTTATCGACATCAGTCCCTTCAGTATTCTTTAATTTTGTTGAGAAGTTGGACGATTCTTAATTAGCCTTTATGCTTGTATCATTCAGTTTATCTGTTGTGACGTTATGATTGGAAAAGGTTTATTTGAATTATGTCTGTTAGTGGGATATGACGGGAGCCCGCTGCTCTGAACTTGTGAAATCCAGGATAGTGAAAAGTGCTGAGATTTCTTAGCAGCCCCACAAAATAAGGCTCCATGGGCCAACAGGGACTGCTAGATTATTATGATATTATTGTAATGATTATTTAATTTACTTATTAGGAATTGGAGAGAAGGATGGAGGAGAGGGAGAAGCAGGTCAGGGAGAAAGATAAAAAAGCTTCGAGTGGATCATCTAAGTAAGATAAATCAGTTCAAAATTGTCTTGTTTGAAGAAAAATAGAGAATGGCATGCTGGGCCTCTTAAGTAAGGCTAATCAACCTAAAAATTAAAGAGTGCAAGAAAGAGCTTTGCAGATTTGGGCCAGGGGTAATGGGCTGCAGGGTGGGTGAGGGTTGGACTATTGGCTTGCTGTGAGCACCCCAAATCATGTTGAGAACTGTAAATATTTTAAATGTCCTTCCCCTCTATGTGCAACTAACACAGTTCCTAAGAGACCAACAGTCACTTTTTTGGCTTTGTGGATGGTTCAGTTCAAAAAGGCTTAACAGTATAAGCCAAAGAGCACTAATTTAATTGTGTCTACATCTTTATTATTGTACAGATTAAAAGAAAACAAAACCAACTCTCCTGTTCTGATGCAAGAGGATACAAACAGAACGCATTACAGACCACAGGTAAATGTACTTATGGAACATGAGGGAAAACTTGATCTGCTTTGTTCTACATAATCTTGTCATCACATTTGTCAGTGTGCATCCTAATCTTGGTGTTCCTGTGGTACAAAGCCACAAATTTTTGAGTTATCACAGACAACTGCCGATTAGCCGCCCCTACTGGGAAATTGGACTCTTTTCGACTCAATTTCGCTTCAGTAGGTGACAAATGCAGATCCATAAACAATGATTACGTCTACAAGTTTAATATTAGTTTGGGACAAAGTATGTGGTCTTTGGAATCAAAATACTCAACATCTTCTATTTGTGATTATCATTTAGGAATGGCTTAGGTGTAAGAGGTTTATTTCGGTAAACTAAAAAAATGTTATTCCTTCTGATGTATTAGTTGAACCAGAAATATGACTCCCAATATAGCTTTTTATTCCAAAAGAAATTCTGATTCAAGCTACATGTATGTACTGTTACTTTTAGACTCACATCTAGGCCTCTGAATCAAATAATAATATTTTTTTAAGCTACAGTTATGTATTATTAAAGAAGAAATAAGTTCTTATTTAAAATTTTGCTTAACCAGCTATCAAGGTTAGCAGTATTAATTTCCTAAAACCCAGTATCATCTCAGGGTCTGATGTTTTAGTATCTTTAATGATAACTATTTTTAATATTCAGGGCTGTGCTCTAGCGGAGCCCAGTGGCACTTGGCGCCTAACTTTTGATTTTGGGCGACTAGAAAATCTTACAAATCGTACAAATCATATGCTGGGCACCCTTGCTTTTACAGGTTTAGAGCACTGGGCTCCCTTCCTTAGAGCACAGCCTTGATAATTATTGTTAACATAAACATATTGGTTCTATGTGAGATTTTACTTCCAGCTGTATGTAGTTTCAGACCGTTTCAAGATTTTAATTTCATTGTCAGTGATTTTTTTTTTCTTGTAGCTAAGAATTTTGAAGAGGCCAGATTCTGGAGGATCAAATCTGTCTAAATCTCAAGAAATGAGTAAAGAAAAACCTGTCCATAAAACACTGGCAGAAAGACAGGCACAATATGCTGAAGCAAGGTGAGAAAAAGTTTATTAAACACACTCCATCTAATCCAGTGATTACAACTGTACTTTCTAGTTTAAAGTTTAAAGAAGCCTTTCTGACTACAAATGCATGGGCATTGATCTATTAGAATACACTGTTGTGTTTTTCTGTTGCAGTTGGTGTACATGTCTTTTGTAGTTGTTGTTGTTGTTGTTTTGCTGTTTTTTTGTATGTCTGTTTGTTTGGTTGTTTTTATATAAAAAATATACACACTGTATATAAATGTAATATTTTCTTTTCTCATCAGCTCAGATAATTTGTTTCTCATAAAAGCAAATGTACAATGTGCACATGTGCATGCAGATCCAAGGCTGTGCTCTAAGAAAAAATGACAATGCCCAGTGCCCTGAACCTGTGAAATCCAGGGTGCCCAGCATAGAATGTCTATAAAACATCAAAAAAATAATGATAATGATAAATACAATACACTTAACAAAGACAATGAGAATGATGATGATGATGATGATGATGATAATCAGTGTTCCAGCCAGAGTGTGCCATTGCGTGAATCCCGCAAAAAAACGAGAGATGGCCCCCACCAAAAGTGTTCAAGGGCCATTTATGGCCCTTTCGTTCTATAATTCCGTGGGCTTAAAAGTGTCTCTGTTACCTCAACTACAATAATTTTCCAATTAAACAGCATTTTTAATCTAAAGAACAACGACTCCGTTCCTTTGTACACAACACGAAAATCAATTGACGAATCTTCTTGAGTTTACCTGATTTACGTTTAGTGGTCTGGAGACCACTGAGCCTCGACTTGACTTTTGTAATATCGCAGGAGCTGTGTCCATCGTAGTGTCTCGAAAAAGGATAAACCTGACAAACGCATCTTTGAGGTTTATCAAAAGTTTTTTCTCAGTAAGTAATGAAAAAGTGGATGGAGGAGAAGCAGTTCAGAAGAAGCAAAAGGAAGCAGATCTTGTTGGTGAAGTAGAAAATGAGATGAAAAAAATTACTTATCATTTTTTATTGCATACATTCTGATTTTAATGTTTGCTTTATTACAGAAGATTTCCTCTATTGTGTATAAAGAGGGATGCTTCATCTCAGCTTCAAATAAACTGCCATTTTCATTTCCTTAACTTTCCAACTGTTTCTTCTCTTTTGCATATTAGAAAGATACTGGTACATTGGCCCTTTCTTGAAATATCTGGCCCCCAAAAATGGGTTGTGGGGGCCACTTTGGCCCTCAAGCAGAAATTTTTGGCTGGAACACTGTGATAATGATAATGATGACAAAAATAATATTATACACTTAGTACCAGATCCTGAGGGAAACATCAGGACTTGAGGGAGTACAAAACTAACCGGTTTCCCAAGGGACCTGACATTAAGTTTTTTGTTATGTTTCTAGACTTTCCCTTTAACAGCAACAAAAGAATAACCGGAGCGAACCAAAACAGTCGACTTGGTACTTATAACAACACAAATTCGATTCTTTAAACCACTGAATGAATGATTTACAAAGTACTTTCCTTGTATTATTTGCATCTTTTTCCTCCACTAGCTGCTGTTTCTCTTCTGGGATGACTTTGAAAATCATAGCTTTTTAGCTTCAGGCTTCCTGTTTGTGTTCAAGTTGTTGTGTTTATTCACGTAAAAGAAAACTGGCAGTGTTTTTCCCGCCTTCTTTCACACCACTTTCCACCATGCTTTGATCACGAGCTGTAATGTATCATGATCGGGATACATTTCATTTTTGTCAAGGCCACAAGACCAAGAATCAACCAATGGCAGTCCCTGTTAAGTAGAGTGAAAGTCTAGGAATATAACAACTTTATTAATTTACTTTACAGTAGAATAGTGACAAACCTGTGACCGTTCCATGATTTCCTAGTTGCCCAAAAGCAAAAGTAAGGTGCCAGGGGCTACTGCTAGAGCACAGCAGCCCTTGTCTGATCTTCTGATCCTCTGCCAAAAATGTACATGTGAGAAAATTACAATATATAATTATCTGCAGAATTAAGTGCTTACATTTTGTCACTGCACCCTTCGTAAAATTGCAAAGGTAGACCATTTACATGTATAAATGCATAATTTTTTATAGGGCAAGGATTTTGGGAAGTGCTACAGCGGATGAAAGCAATGACCTAGAGTAAGTTCCTTGATTCCATTCCTTGATATCATCATTAGTTGAATTACAGGTATAAGTAAATAAATCGATATCATTCTTTAGGTGCAGTTACACAAGACCATCTTCCCTAGCTCCCCTTGGGGAAATAGAGAGAAGAATTTGTCACATCACATTACCGTGGTAGTATCCTCACTGGATCTGAACAATAGGCTGATTTAGCGACAGAACGGGAACGTCAGTTGACAACTGCGTGCGCAAACCAAACAACTGGCTAGACCAATGGCAGAGCGGCAAATTGGGCACCGAAAGTCGTGTTCAGTCCTTTCCGCGCGCGTTCGCGTCGTCAACTGACGTTCCCGTTCGGTTGCTAAATCAGCCTAATGTTTCCTGACAGAGACGGTCATTTGCAAAGTTAAACGATAAAGGAAAAGTTGGGCTCCGTTTTGATCCTAAGTGCAATCATGCACACAAAAGTCATACAAGTCAATATATTTATAGATATATATTGGTTTGTTGAGATCTAGAAATTTTCCTACCATGGCGAAGCAGCAAAAATGACTTCTCTCTATTGCTAGGGTTGTTTACATCAAAGTCCTGCACTGAAGCCAACAAAGTGAACCAAAAGTTGATGTATACATTATTGTACATGTACACGGAATATTTTTACTCAAAGACAAGTGTTTGTTATTCTTAGAGAAAGGGATCTAAATTGCAAATGACTGCATTCAGAATGATTTTGTGATGGTACATGACAAGTCGTACCTTATAATGTTTTGCATGTAAACAAAGTTATGTTTTCACCATTTTACTCTATTTACTGCAGGAAAAATGAAACTCCAAAAGTCATACATGTTGAACAGAAACTTCCTGACAATGTTATCCGACTTCCAAGGTAAGNATGACAAGTCGTACCTTATAATGTTTTGCATGTAAACAAAGTTATGTTTTCACCATTTTACTCTATTTACTGCAGGAAAAATGAAACTCCAAAAGTCATACATGTTGAACAGAAACTTCCTGACAATGTTATCCGACTTCCAAGGTAAGAGCTAAACAGTTTCATCTGCACTTCATCCATTGCGATAACTAATTACTGAGACAAATGGAACGTACAGTTATCATGTCACAAGCAATAGAAGTCCAAGACCGGGTTCTAAGATGCGACTTACTAAATGTAGGGACAGGTCGGGTACTTTCACCACGAAGCTGGGATGTTTTGGCAAGCTAATTTGAAGAGGTCATTATTCTGCTCAATAGCATTCGATTTTCCCATCAGCAGGGGTAGCTGTATGGATAGATTAAGTAATTTCAACGTTCAGGTAGTTAGTTAACTTGAGTGATCTGTGCATTTTTGGCTAGTACATTATAATGCGAGCAATATTATTTTGGGAAAGTATCAGCCATCGACAACTTGGCATCCTGGATATCCAGAAACGACAAGCAGTGACACACTTTGGTTAAATTTCCAGATTTTCAAACGGAATTTCTCCAAAAGTATCAGGTTTATCGGGCTCCAAGGTAGTATCTTCTACTTAACAAATCGATTCCATGTCACTGTGCGTCTTTTCTGTAATAGATCACAGATGACGTCAAAACGACTGTGGTAAAAACAAAGAAGTGGTACACGAGCTGCAGGCTAGTGTGTCACTGATGTTTTAACCACATGTTGATGTCTTCTGTGATCTATTAATGAACAGACCCACAGCAACATGGAATCTATTTGTTTTATACAATGATCAGGAAAGTATTAAGACCGATACACATACCTCCATCCTACTGCTTAACTGTTCGAGGATTTGTGCTAGTTTAGTCCCAAGGTATACAGGTAGCTCTTGCTAAATATCAAGGTTTAGGAGGCTTTCACTTGCGTAATCCGAAATTATCTTACAAACATTTTCAAAACCGCGCGCCAAGTTTTCCGTGACATCATCCATGTATCTGTACTCTGATAGATCATGGGCAACGACCATTCGCTGCGCGCGTAGCATTCACATCATAACATTGTAATATATGGAAATGGTCAGGGCTAAAAGCGAAGTTCTCTTCAATATCTATAGCTTACTCAAACAGAATAACAATCGAGTAAAGGTAATGTTACGCGGGACGATTTGCAGGAACGACGTTTAGCACAACACAGCGTTGCAACATTGTTTTAAATGGTTACAACATTGTTTCAACATTGCTTCAACGCTCTGTTGCGCTAAAAATCGTCCTGTGTAACATCACCTTAATGCTAAGCGGCGACGGCAACAAAAACAGCCTCCCAAAAAATAAGTTGGTCTAATTACTAAAAAACTGTGCACGTACAGCGCACTTTTTTTTCTTTTTTTTGTACATTTCCTTGCCGTTGTTTTGCACGACTACAACGTGAAACTTCAAAAAACTTCATAGTTAGACGTTTTACATGTATGGTGGAGATGTTGAATGTGCTCCTGTTCACGTTTTTTTTTTAATCGCTGCCGTTAATTTTATTCCACTTTGGTGGCCGCTACCATTTCTTATTTTGTCAAAAATTTTTATGTTGTTCTTCCAACGAAATTGGTTTCCTTTGTTTTTAATCTCTCGCGCTCTAGCTCTTTCTCTGTTATCCACGTCAATGGAGACATTAAAATTATGTCGAAAGAAAGAAGTAGCTTTGTAACACTAGAAAAAGTCCATTGGCTGCCTCTAGGTAAACTTCCACTACCTTGATAATATTTCGCTAAGACAAACGCAAGCTTCTTGGATTCCCCGTCACCCTTGCAGAGTCTAGTGAGTACTACCCCCAAGTCTACTTAGTGCCACCCCCAGAGAACGTACGTAGGTGCGAACGTACGCTGACGTGATAACCAAATTTTCTCGGATGGAGAGTTGACCAAATTTACCTAGTAGGGGCTACGCTCGCTCGCGCTCTGCGTAGAGCTCCGCTATAATATCTTATCCCAGTATTTATAGTCGCTGTTGTTAATTGATCCGATAATCAACAGCGTACATGTACGCCGATCAGGAAAATTCAGTATGGACAGCGCATCCACACCTTTTAGCTGAGAAAGTAACCTACGTTGAATTTTTTTTTTTTGTTTCTCCTGTTTCTAAAGCGTGGTTTTGATTTTTTTTCCCTTTTAGAGGTCCAAATGAAGACGGTTCGAAAGGCTTTGAGTTCAGAAGATGAAGGCCGACAGATATTCAGGCGAAATCAGCAAAACTATCGACATCGTGGAATAAATTCGTGGCAAGAGAAAAGCTTGCCTATTGGTTGGTTTTCGGGGTGCAAGAAGTCAAGCCGTCTTCGTGATACTGAAAGCTGGTTGGACCTCATGAACCTAATAACATGCCTTATCTGCGGGCCTAGTGGAGAAAGGAAATTTTTGCTCGAGCAAATTTTTACCGTAACCATGGGACGGTGGTTGGATCTGGAGGCTTGCTGATGAGTTACTTAAGAGACTACTCTTTATTTTCCTTGCTGAATAGCTTCAAACCAATGGTACAGTGTACCAACAAACGACTGGAGTACCTTCTTTCTAAGATCCCCTCGAGGAGGGAGGGGTGAACTGTTCCACAGAGATCCAAATCGCCTGGAATGCGAACTTTGCCACCTCGGCTTTTTACTGGGTGCATGCGTGATATTATTCAGTCGAAGCAAACTGTGGTCTATTCAAATTGAAGAACCGACCTTCTCGTAATAAGTTTTTTGTGCGAATAATATGATTACTATAAGCTACCTTAACCTAACATCATCGGTTCATAATAAGTGGTTTGAAATACAGAGTCATCGGTACAAAATTATTCCAAGGCATTTACAGTGAAACTCTTTCGTTATTGAACTTCTGAAATGGTTGAGAGGTTTCTAAGCTTAACTTACCCTATAAGGAGATGTACATATGTACATGTTAAAGCTAAAGCGAGGTTTGGTTGATGCTCTATTCACCCATTTTCTGGCACCATTTTCACACTATACCGGATAGTTTTTCGTGGCACCACGAAAAAGTATGACGTATAATATGAACACCTATACGTATCCATTGTGTGATTTTCCGCTTTAGAAATCGACGCGGCGCAGCTTCGCTTGGACAGAGAAATCGCGCCGCCACAACCATTTTTGTGTGTAAACAGAAGTCCTATCCGGTCTAATTTTTATGGCGGCGTAAAAGCTACCCGGTATAGTGTGAACTTAGACCAAGTTTTTACCCAACCGTACACCTTGAAGCTGCTTTTCTGAGGGATGTGAGTCTTTTTAACGTGACGACTTGAACTCCCATCTGCCGTAGGATGTCTACTTAATCTAGGATATCATGACCGTATTTCTTCATGTCCGGCTTTTGCTCTCCGCTAAACCAGTTGAATGCGCCAGCTAGAGAATTAAAATGCCTGGTCACTATGTCAGCTTCTCTGTATAGTATTGCTGCTTTTCACGTGACGTCACGGCGGCCATGTTGGTGATAAAGAACAAAAGCATTTCTCTCCTCTAGAAACTAAACTCCATTTTCATTTAAATTCTCCAAATTATTTTAATTGCATCGTATTGACGGCACGTGCTCTGACTTTTTTAAGATTTTGGACGGAGTCAATCGAGCTGCCATTCAAATTAGACATCACAGGATGTTGCCGTTGGTTCCCAGTATTTTTCACCATATTCTGGATGGGTAATGCTGGGAATCACTTGTCTAAGGAGTGAAAATCTCAAAGGCCTTACAATAAGTAATTTTAACCTCTTTTTATTGATCTCATGACAATTATTTAACAATCGTAGTAGCTAAGAGCATTGATTTTAAACGTAGTGAGTGTTTTCTGTTGCCTTTCTAGATTATCCAGTTGTTAATTATATTTTTGTGTTCCAGGTACTAAGAACTGGTTAAGATATCCTATGATCAGAATAAAACTATCACAGCTCCCTTTATTACATGAGGTCTTTTCGACAATCCGGTAAAAGAATGATAACTGTGGACCAAATACTGAAGAGCCATTGAACCATATTGAAGTTTTCAAGCCTTCGTTGCCTACTAACTTGTTCAGTGATGGTTTTCATTCATTCAGTATTGCGATTCCACGACAAGCTTGAGCCAAAGATATTGACACTTTAAATACAAACAAGCCAAGACTTAAGTCAGAATACGGAAGGTAGAATGCAAAAGAAAAAAACAAATTTTCTTCGTTGCCTTTAACAAACTTAAAAGCGAGCAAAAAGAATCTACACGCGGATTTATCAATAACTTGCAGTTTTAGATGACAAGGAGGAGGAATGAATGCGCCGATTGCGTCTTCAAAACACCATCAAAAAATAAAAGAATAGATTTCATAACAGCAAAAACATTAAGAAACTAATTCAAAACTAAATTATGGTACATCATACTGTAAATTTTGGTACATACATTGTTACGCTAATCGTATCCCGCCCGTTAATGGCTTTCTCTCGTTCATTCTCTACATTCCTGTTGTTCGTTTGTAAAGCATTGAGATTAAACGATTTAAATTAAGCCAAATAACCTAAATATTCTACTTCTTAAAGTTAGCAGCTTTTAGTTTCTTTCGTTAGAAAAAGGTGCTCAAGAACTTGATATTTTAAGGTTACAAGAATGTTTCCGAGATTTTAAGAACTGCAAAGAATTTTGATAGCTGGACGCCCCATATTGCCGCACTTTAAAGTCATTCTATAGTTATTTAAGCATGTTGATGCAAGACTATGCAAGGCTTGTAGCGTTTTTAAGAAACTACTTTGTTTTTCTGAGAGCGCCTAAATATCTAGAGCTCAAGATTTATAAGTCTCGTCAAGTCCAGTAAATGTACAAGGAATGTTGTTTTACTCGTAATCACCGGTAGCAAGCACAGTATACCCAAGCGGTTTGTCACGTGACTTTTTAAACGCCAAGAGCGCTGTTCCCGCAAAACCAATAAGACACATCAGGAACAAGGCTATCATAAGAGAGGGACTGGAACCTATAAAGGGATGAGAACTTCAATTAACAGAGGCAATATGTAAAAGAATAGTCTGGCAATGGTGTGGAAACTTTATATATTATTGGTTCCAATAATGCTTTAAAAAGCTGGTGCATAATACACAATTTTCACCCCAAATACCTCAGTCAACAACTATTTCAAAACCAATATAGCGGTATTTACATGAAGTAACTTCCGCTATTTTGGTGTTCGGAACAATACAACGGCGATCATATTGATGTCCCAACAAACGTTTGTTTTTTTTTCCGCTAATGAAAACATTTCTTTTTTCTTTGTTCTGATAGGTTACAATGGCTGCTGGACATGTGAATGACAACGCTCTGCAAAGTGAAAGTGCAAATCGTTTTGTATAAAGACGTTTTTTTTAAAGAAGAAACGAAAGGTTGAGTAATCCCCCGGTTACCATTTTTCCACTGTAAAAAGTGCACCTTGAAGGTTTTGCTGTTTTTTTCATGTACAGCAGTGAGCTAGAATACTGCTAATTGGAAGGCCGAAACACACAGACAATAATCAAGGCCATTATCAAAATAAATATAAGTTAGCTTGTTCTAATTAGTCCGGCCCATTCGCCTTTTAAAGCATGTACCTAGTCTCTCGCCACTCTGGCCGACACCACCTTCATTTGCATCTCGTTTCTGGTGGCCCAGGTGGATTGGGCCCTGCGCCAACATGTACACGTCATCAGTCATGTGACTGGTCACTTCACGTCTTCCACGGCCACTGGGTGAACATTTCTTGCCACACTTGGAAGTTGGGTCGGTTGCGTTGCATACGATGACGTGGCAGTGAACAAACACAAATGGATGATCAGCAATGAATTTGAAGGCTTCCAGACTGAACCGATGTGCACTGACAGTAGGCGCACTATGGTACTTAACAGTCAAGTCACTAGGGCACCTAATATAAATACCGGATATTGTTTTAGAAGTGAGGAAATATTTTTAAAAAAATATTTTCAGTTAAAAGGTTATACATGTAACATAGGCTCCTGATTATTAGCGTCCACCTCATAACAACCGTGACTCTTAGAAAGAAAAAGAAAGAAGCAAAAGAAATGTGGATGACATTTCTCCCCATAACCTCAAAATTGCATTTAAAAAAAACGGCTTAAATACAAAACTTGTCAAAGCGGGTGAAACTAGGGGTCATTTTTATTTATTTATTCTCACGTTTTACGGCCTCCCACAGACGGGAATGATATAGATATGTACACATGTTCAGCGAACTTGGAAAACACTGGGTAAAAAGACAACTTCACAATTATAACCTAAGACTTTGTAAACTCTACACATTAACTGTACAAACCCTTTGGTAATAAAGATGTATTTTAAAGAATTCCTCTTATTCTGAGTTGGTGTGGCAAAACATTGATCAGCAATGATTGACAGTTGCTTGTCACTTGATGTTACAGAAACCTCAAAGAAAAGACGTTTGCGAAGCATCGCAGCAACAGGGAAATCATCCTTCGTGTAAGGACTCACAAATCGTTTGTCAGGAAACATGTTCAACGACAGTGTAAAGTTTCCTTTGCCTTCATCGCTAAACACAAGTTT